AGTTATTATTATTTTATAATATATAATTATATATATTATTTTGTTGTAAGGGTTATTATTTCCTTGTAAGGAAAATCTACTCAAGATGTCATTAGTATCCTCAAAATTTGTCAATCACTATACTAATAGAGAATCACAAAATGGTTCAGGTTGGAAGGGACCTTAAAGATCATCTAGTCCAATCTCCCTGACACATTGCTCAGAGCCCTGTACAACCTGACCCTGAGCACTGTCAGTGATGGGACACCCACAGCTTCTCTGAGCAACCTGGTTGTGTCTCACCACCCTCAACACAATCACTTTCTACTAGCTAACCTAAACCTGCCTTCTTTCAGTTTAAAACCACTGCCTCCTGTCTTCTCAATACAGGCATTGGCAACAAGTCTCTCTCCACCCTTTCTATAGGCCCCCTTTATATATTGAAAGGCAGCAATAACCCTGGAACCTTTCCCTCCCCAGGCTAAACAATCTCAGCTCCCCAAGCTAAAGAACCTCAGCTCTTCCAGCCTTTCTTCAGGGGAGAATGTTTCCAGACCTCTGACAACTTATGTGGCTCTCCTCTGGACTTGAATGCATTACTTCAGGTGGGGTCACACTAGAGAAGAGCAGAGGAGGAGAGTATCATGACAGTGTCTCGCTTCTGTTTGCTTCAGAGGTCCTTTGTTACTCTACACTGACTTTTAAATGTTGTATTTGATTTTGTTTCAAATATGATTTGACTTCAGTGAACAGATTTTTTTTGTTTTCTCCAGCATCTCACAGAAACATAGAATGATTGATGTTGGAAGGGACCTCTGGAGGCTACCTTGCCCAAGCCTGCTGCTTAAATAGGGCCACTTGGAGCCCTGGACCATCTCCAGCCTCCACTACCTCTCTGGAAACATGTGTTGGTATGTGATCATCTGCAGAGGAGAAAAGGTTTCCCTGATATTCAGAGGAAACCTCACATGTTTCAGTTTGTGCCCATTTCTTTTTGCCACTGGGCACAAATGATAAGATGCTGGGCCCATTCTCTTTGCACCCTTCCTTCAGGTATTTATATAGGTCCATAAGATATTCTCTTTTCCAGGCTGAATTGGGTTTCAGTCCCAGCTCTCCCAGGCTTTTCTCTTAAAAAATGCCCTAGTCTCTATTATAACCCTTTTCTGGACACTGTTCAGTAGCTCTCTATCCCTCTGGTATTGGGAACATATCGAGCTATACTCTTCCTATAAAATTCTATAAAACCTTTTAAGATATTTCAAATAAAAGTTACATGTAAGAGGCTTTGGGATCCCTTTCCCTTTCCCTTTCCCTTTCCCTTTCCCTTTTCCTTTCCCTCCCTTCCCTTCCTGCTAACTATAACTGTAATATTTTCTTGTAATTTTCTTGTAATATTAACTTGATCCTAAGACAGGTCAAAAGATTATGGGAGAGAGGCTGTTAAGTTTTTTCAGCTTTCAGGGCATTCATATAATAAAGACATCCAGACAAGGCCCTCACTTTACAGTTACCTAGCCTGTGCCAGACTACAACTTCTGAGACTTTTTTGTAATTAAGCCTTTCAATTGGGATTATGTTACAAAGGAAGACCTGATAGGTAGTTCTGCTACTACTAACAGAATAATAACCAGCCATTTGCAAAAATGGTGTTGGATTAGTGTGTCTTCACACAGCTTGCATGCAAGTCTACAGGGGGCTCCAAAACTCTTTGCAGTGCTGTTTTGGATTAAATTAGCGTAATGCAATTTACATCAAAAACAATTTCTGGACATATCCATTTTTCTTCCTATACTCAATCAGGAATGAAGGAATGAAAGAAGGGAACAGAGGAAGGAAGAAAAGGATGATAGTACATTCTTTGATTCATTCATCATTTCTTTTTCCATTTTTAGACTGTTAAGATAATTTCATCTGCTTTCATATGAATTATAATTAATAGCATTAATAAGGTGCTTAGCCTACATTGAAAGAAAATTAATATTATTAGCCAGAGAATAATTCTCTAAGGCATGTCACATGCAGTGACATTATAACTGTGAATTCTTCCAGCACTGAATTCTGTTATACACATATCATCAATATGAAAAAGCAATAGACATACATGGTCCCAAAGCTTATCAAGAGGCTTTGTATTTTAGATTTTTGATGTAGACTGTAATAATACTATTCAGTATTGGTTTAACAAGTTACAAACAAGAAATATTCAAAGTATTTTATTCATGTGTCTTTTGGGCTTTTCTCCTCCTAATATTACGATTGCCTTACAATTGAATAATTGTCCAATTTGGTATTGATTTTCAATAAATAAACAAATGAAAATGGAATAATTTTGTTTTAATTCTGAGTCTTGAGTGGGCTTTTCCTTCTTACAAGTAAAGCTTTTGCTTTCTCCCTTGAAAATGGCACCTAAGTCTTTCTGATTCCATCTAATCTCTCAAATGAGGAATAATGTTTCAGCTGTATTTCATTGTTCAATCTTTACGTTTTTTTCATCACTGGTACCTGGCAATACTTCTACTTTCAACTTTTCTCTTTTCTACTCCTTTTTTTTAAGTCATCCACAAGAGTCTTCCACAACATGTCTCAGTCAGCAGAAAACACTGTAAATTTCTTTTAGAACTCAGTCTTGGTGTATTTTTCCTACCAAAGATGAAAGATTTCTGATGTTGCTCTATAAAGTGGTTTTCAATGCACTCATATTTTTTTCGTATGCTGTGTTGTCTTTACTTAGAAAGTCTTGCATATTGTTATATCTGGGTATTTTGTTCTTACTGCTTTTGCGAGCTACATTCATCTGTACATAAATACTAATTCCTGTCAAGTGAATGACAAAACCTCAGTTTTTGAAAAGCTTACAATATTCACTTTTTCATATTTTCTAGACAATTTTATTTTTAACTTTTCTACTCTAGCATCTTCAGAGGCCTTTCCAAGAGCATACTGATTACTGACATCAGCAGTACAGTGAATCAATCTACGTTCTCTGATGAAGCTGATGCACTAAAACTGGACTTTTCAATGGAAGTTAATGGAAATAAGTATTCCCTTCAACTGAAAAAAAGAAAAGCTATATTATTCCTCCAGATTCATTTGGAAATGACAGCCATAACTTTTATTTTTTTTCATCAGGCTAATAATGGAGGGGAAAGTAGCAGAGGAACTAAACACATTTTCTACATCCTGGAGCAAATATGTCATCTCTCATCAGCAAGATCTTACCAGACATAAGCAAAACTGAGTAAACAGATCCCAACTGAGAAAAAAATTGTTATTTTTATGCTAGTAAATGACAGTTGTGGATCTGTTTCCTGATCAAGCTAGCTCTACTGCCCCTGCTGCTCCTGTAACAAACAGGAAAGGACAATACATGCGGAATCATGTGTATCTCATCTAAATTTGTTCTAATTTACTAATTACTAATTATCACCGTCAAATTTATAGCTCTGATTTATCCCAAGCTTTTTAAATAGCATGCTTTTGTCCTACATTTTTGACACTTCTCCTAAAAGCCTGTGGTCATTATGGAAAAGAGCAGTGGTTTTCAATCTGTTACCACCTCTGCATCACTAAATAGCCTGAAACAGCAGCATGTCAGCTACCCTGCTTTCCAACTTGCTGTTTAAACCCTAGAGACACTCTGGGACAGTAAGGAAACTGCAAAATGCAATGGCAGCAGCAAATAACCAATTAGGCTGGAATAAGCTAAATATTGTGCAACAGAAAAAGAAACAGGAAATAAAGACAGTAAAAACAGGTAATGCCCAGCAGATTTTTACAACGTGGATGCAAACATAAATTATAAGACATGCATTCTTTGATCTAATGCAAGTACTCAATTGATCAAATGCTGGTGGCCACTGATAGACATGGTAAAGTTTCAGATAAAACTGGAAAAAAAAAAACCTGCTGTCTCTTTACAGAACATGATTTACAAAAGAGTGTTGTTCTGTTATATCCTATACTGAAAACCCTTCCTTAGCCCATTACAGTTTCCCACAACAGTTTTCCCTATTCCTGTAAGTACTGCAATAAGTACATTACAAATCACTAACTATTCTGTGCTGCCTTTTGCCCAGTATTTCTGCAACTAGGCTTCTTGATGCAAAATATGCAAAGAATACATGTTTAACTGCACATGCTGGCATAATTCATGTATGCACCAAAGCTAAATATCTGTTTATAGCAACTTAGTCAGAAAGCTTTCTTGAAGAAAGACAATTTGCACTGACTTGTACTGAGAAGAGAATCAACTTGTGGTATACAGGAAGAAGGACCATAAAGTCATCTTTAGCGCTTATAATGCTATTCTACCATATGATTATTTCCAAATATGAACTGTTACTTGTTTTCACAGGTGATAATCTCTGGAATCAGAGAAAAAACTTCCATACAACTAGAGATACAGGAAAGCTCCTGTTGAAAGAGGTTGAAAGATTCAAGGACCAGTTCCTCTCCAGCCTCAGAGAGATTGGAAGGCTCTGAAAGGCAAATTCATTGTTTTTGACTATACTCTATAAATAGAAGTGGACCTCATCTTAGTGATTTCAGTAATTCAGAGAACTCATTGAAATAATTAGCAAATTACTTTTGTTATACAATTTATTTGAAAATATTTTGATCCTGATATCATATGATCACTTTTTAAATTAATATATTGTTTTATAAGGATAATCTGAATAGGCCAGATGCATTCTGGAGCTCAGAGGGTTGGATTTAACCACTCAGCTTCAAAAATTCACAGTTAGATGTCCACATCTCTGCTACGTCCATGCTATATAGACCACCCTCACAGTCAAAGAAGGGAATGGGCTTTTGTAGGATACAATAAATTTGGCAATAAAGTAGATATTGCAAAAACTCAGATTATTGTGCTTTCTAAATGACTGTTTCTTTCCCCTAAGTCTGAAGGACAAGTATGACAGATATACTGTAGACACAAATAGCTGGTCTCAATTTGGTGAAGATAAACACAAGTCATCATGAATTCCTTCCACTGCTGTTAGAAGCGTGTAACATACCTACACTCCAGTCCATTTCCTCCACTGCATCACCATATAAACCATGCTTGCTCTTTCCTTTGAAACTTTCTGAAGCATATAGAGCAGTATGGACATGAAGATAAGAGAGGACAAGAAGAAATGGTGTACCAGTGTTCCTGGAAAACAAAACAAACCAAAATAATAAACCCTTAGTATATTTTATGAGATTTCTACAAATAAATCTTTCTTCAATAGAGTTAAAATAAAAGGTCCCCTGTCTCCCGTAAACAAACACCAAAACAAAACAAAAAAAGGTAAAAAAGAATACTGTAATTGATTATAGGGTCATTCTGAATAAACACACACCCAGTAAAAATGCTATGCTTTTACTGAATTGAAAGCAAAAATTAATGAAAAAATCTATCTAAATACTATTTGCTATATATATTGAAAAGGGACTTGTTTAAAGGTAGGAATCAAGATGTTTCTGAATACAAACACCTCTCCTCATTTTACAAGTTTATTTTTAAAAACCTGAACAAAATTTCTGTTCAAAACATACCCTCAGCACTACATATCTATGTGAAAACACAACTTCCTTCCTCACAAAGTCACGTGGAAGCTGATCAACTAAACTGTTATGGGGACCTGGGTCTTTATTCTGGACTAAGGTATATGACCAAATCTCTTTTCTTTCTAAGCTCTGTATGTGTACGCATGTGACTACATAACCTCAAAGTCATAGCAATATGAAAATTTGTCTCAGCAAAGTAATGAACAGTCTCAATTGTCTTCTATTTTCTTAACAGATACAAAAGAGTACCATAGACTGTAAATTTTGCTGTTCATGTGATCTGTCAACACAATATTTATGATCAGTTCCAGCAGACTGTGAAAGCACAGCTCAAACAAGTACTTCTTGCATTATTTATAGTACTTTACTTAAAATTGTGCCGTACTAGCCAAATTTACTGCTATATGCTCTAGCAGCATTTGCAGCATTTGCATATTGCAAATAGCGGCCAAACCACAAAAGCACTGCCCACAAAACTTGTTTGGATCTCACCTTAGAAAACACAGCTAATTGCAGACTACTTTTAGTTTTATTTATCATATTTTCCCTCACAAAGCTGTGGTGGATAATACCTGTGATTCACATCAGCATCAATGGGAGACAATGTATTTCCTCAAGCAGTTGGTTCATCCATCCTTTAAAGAGAGGAGGCCCAATACAGACATGCTTGTAAAACCCATTTCTTTAAAATTAACAAAAAAAATCCTAACATTTAGAACTTGAAAACAAAGTCTTTTAGTCAAAGAGATCAATGTGATATCAATTCTTTCCTCTTTAATAAAAATAATTAAATTTAATATAGTATATTTATGATCTATTTTTCCTCTCTCCTTGGTTTGATCTGTTTTTTCACAACTTGCATGGTTAAAGCTTTTTTTCTACTGGCACATACAGTAGTAAATAAACACAAAATGGAAAATTTTCATCCATATTACTCATTTGATAAGTGTTTTCTTGATAAGAATTTTTCTTCACAAAAAAATTCCCCCTATTTTAAGGAAACTCAGAAGAAATATGGAAAATGGATAAAAAATATTTTAATTCTCTTACAAACATTTGTGCATTAATCCTGTATTACCTTATTAATATAAAGTACTGATCCAAAAAATTTAAGAAAATGTTTTTCATAAAATACACACTTTCCATGAAGTTGTTTGCTGCTATTTGAAAGGTCATATATGTGAGAAATTTTCACAATTGTGGCAACAAATAAGAGGAGATCCATGAGTCAATTAAAAAGGCTGAAAATATCACCAATTGAATTAAAAAAAAGACATATACTTAAAAGTTACATATTTAAGATATACATAAATGTAATACTGACCTTTCACTAGAGAACTTTACTGCAAGGCAGATGATTTTTGTTTTACAACTTGCATTTTTTAATGCCTGGGATTATTATTGACTTTTTCCTTAGACACAGTTCACTGAATTGAGAATAATATACAAATTCTAGGGTAAAACATCACAAAAATTATTTTGTATTTTTAATATTGCCAGCTAAATTTAATTTTCATGCAAACTACCTTGTTCTAATGCCATAGAGACACTGCATTCTCATAACTGCCTACTTGCTTTGCTTAAAGTATCAATAGCTTACATTACAAATGTTATTTTCAAGATGTAATAATTTGAGTTTGTTTGTTGTTTGTTGAACTCAGAGAAGATCTAATTTTCATGAAGAGTCATCAAATCAATGATTGATATGGAAGGGCACTACATCATTCTCTTTTTTCCAGCTAAAATTGATGGCTTTTGATTGACACCTTGCTGTTGGGTGGAGAAGTGTCTCACCTATTAATATCCTATAAAAGATCAGAGGCAGCTATTTATCTCCTGCCAAAACACTTTGAGAAGAATCATAACTGAATACTTTTACTCTGACCTTGAAAATGGAAGGACAATACCAGCTAGTAGGCAGGAGAGAAATTTGACAGTAACGGCTTAACTCCTGAGCCACTTCAAAAAACAGCTCTTTCAAAATGTATTCCACTACCTTTTACACAGCCCAAACACAGAGAATCTCTGTTTCAAAAGATTTGAGATTTTTAATCCTCACATGAGTCACACAGTTTTTTCAATTTATCAAGTAGCTAGAGAGATTACATACATCTGACATAAGATATTCTTCAGGGTGTTTTTAATGGATCTTGAAAACATCTTAAAGCATCACATTGCTGGTGACTCCTCTGCATTGCTGAGTACTGGGTTATTCTTTTTTTTTTATTATTGTGAGGCTTTTTATACTACTCAAGGATTCAGTTCAGGCTTGAGCTGTAAAACACAGATTTAAAGTGGGTGAGAGAGCAATTAAAACTAGTCTGACTTTGTGCTTCAAACACAGATCTTTTAACTATTTTTCCTGCAAATCTGCTCTAAATGCTTTCTGCTTTGAGAACTCATTGGGCAATTGTTTGTTTTTCTGTGCACATAAGTGGCACAGTTGCCACACTGGAGGGAAGGAACACCACCCAGAAGCACCTGGACAAGCTCAAGAGTTTGGCCTATGAGAATTTAATGAAGTTCAACATGGCCAAGTGCATCTGAGTCATGTCAATCCCAAGCACAAACGCAGGCTGGATGAAGAATTGACTGAGAGCAGATCTGAGAAGGATTTGGGTGTGTTGGTTGACAAGAAGTTCCACATTAGCTGGCAAAATATGTGCTTGCAGCCCATAAAGCCAGCAGTATCCTGGGCTTCACCAAAACCAGCATGACCAGCAGGTAATCCTTGAACACTTCCAGGAATGGGGCATCTACAACTGCTCTACCTGTTCCAGTGCTTCACCACCCTCCAAGTAATGGCTTTCTTCATAACACCTAATTTAAACCTGACTCCTTTCTGTTAAAAATATCACCTGTTACTATCTGCCCTTATAAGAATTCCCTCTCCCTCCTTGAGGGGGCTCCCTCAAGTTACTGGGAGGCTGCAGAGCCTTCTCTTCATGCTCCACAACTTCAGCTTTTTCAGCCTGTTCTCATAGGAAAGGAGTTTCATCCCACTGACCATCCTCTGGACCTACTGTAAGAGGTCCACATCTTTCTTGCGCTGAGTGCCTCACACCTAGATGCAGTACTCTGGGTGAAGCAACAGTGTGTCAACACAAGCAGACAGAAACATAATATTTCCTTTCCTGTAATCTTCCTTTTACTACAAAAGCTCTTATTCAGTATCCTCCCAGTGGATAAATTCATTAGTACTTATTCCCCATGGATGCCTCCTCTACTTCCAGATTAGATCACCAGTAAAACAGTGCTTTTTGTGATAGGACAGGATGAATGCTCTTCATTAAACCTTCTTGTTCCTGCAGGAGGAAAAGCCAAATTTTGTCCTAGTTGTGTCAAAGCAGGATTTTATTTTGTTCTGACGCTGATGGTGCTAAAATTCTTGTTAGTCTGAATGAATCCATGAATGAATGTTTCTGTCCTGCTCTTTTAAAACACACACCTTCAAACACAGATGTCATATCTTCATTTTTTATTTTCAAAATCAGAAAGAGAACTCCAGACTACCTGGGAATAATTTATCAGAACAAGAAATAGTGTTGAAAAGGTAACAGAGAGAAAGGGAAAATGTAAATTTATAGAAAATCAGACTCTTTCTAGTAGATATTAAAAGTAGGATTTTAGGATTGGTTGCTATTATATCTGCATTTTTGAAATAATTCTTCCATGCCAATAGACACAGCACTTCTACTTTTCCAATTTAATGCCTTCATTGCTTCCTTTAAATACTTAAGATAAAGAATTCATATAAGTTTTTATTTCCTTTCTATATAATCTTTTCTCTCCCCCTCCTAAAAAACATTTTTGTAAGTATGGAGAAAAAAAAAGAAATTTATCATCTAGTACAAATTAAACTTATTACTAAACCCTCTCATCCACAAAGCTTTGTAGTCCAGTACACAGATCTACCTCTGTTTTAGAAGTGTTCTATTGACCATTCAGTCTTCCACTCACTCCTAGAATGAGATCCCTAATCATTCTTAAATGATCTAAAGATTTAGTAAAGCCCTATATGAACCCACACCTTCTTCCTGTAACCTACTTGTTCAAAAGGCATAATCAGAGCTCTGAGAGAAAAGGCATGAAGGTCCAGTAGAGTTGTTACAACTTTTAAGTTACTATATTTTTAAATATATATATGTGCACATATACATAATATGTATACAGAGATATACAAACTCTTGTCTATAATTTTTATTTTTCAGTAAACTATAAGGAATATTCTTGTAGGATTCACTTGATTTGAGAACTGTAACTTCAGTACATGACAACTGTTAGATCTTAAGCCCTAGTGATATATGGAAAAACTCTAAACCACAGTCTCCTAGAGTAGATAATAACAAACTGGAATAGGTGTTGCAACCATGTTTCAAGGACTAAAATAGAATAAAGAGGAAATTTATAATTTATTAACTGTTATAATAAAATTTTGAAAATTATGCTTATGCAATCTATGACTGGTAAACCTAAGCAAGAAAATTCTTCAAATTCACCTTCACCACAGCTTTTAAATATAATGATGTTTGTATTTAAATACTGTTTTCCAAAAACTAGATTTCATTGGACTTTTAAAAAAATATTAATATCACTTGTGATCAGGTATAGAAATTTCTCAGAGGGGTATTCTGTATCACAGAGTGGTATTTTTATGTTGTTAATTTCTGATATGCTAGAAACTGGACTCTGGAATTTTGCAAAATTGGATTTTCTGTGCAGCTGGTCATTGAAGGGCTGAAGATGTATTAGTGACAACCGCATTGAATTTAACATGAAATAATTAGCATCCATTTGACTTTCAAATACATTGTAATACCAAGAGAACATTCTGATAGATTTACAACATGTAAACACACTTCCTCTCAGGCAAAAGCAATTGGAATTAACATACACAGAGATGACCTGCTGTCCTGGGGTCCCTAAACCAGGACACCTGCCCACTTACAATTAGGATAAGCAACTAAACTACTACCTATTTTCACACACCAGATCTGACACTTCTAATTGCATACATTCTTCTCCAGTGCCATTTTTGGGCACTGACTTGTATTTGCTCTCCTTCTGTCTGTTAAGGAACAAACAAAAATTGTAATATGCATGCACTGGACTAAGGAAGATAAAATGCAATAACACCTCTCCAAAAACCAAACCAAAGGAAGTACAACAGAACATAGCTATACACTATGAAGACATTATAAGACTTTAAAAATACAAATTCTAATGATTATATAGAAACACAGGTGGCCATCCAGCAGTCTAAGGTAGTAGTACTGAACACCCCCCTCATTTTGCTAGGAATCAAAAACTCTATCATTTTGTGATTTCTGTGCCCAAACAGCCTCCAGCCACCACAGCACCCACCAGTTTTTCTCTGTTCACAGTGAGTAGATCCAGCAGGGCCCCTCCCCAGGTTGGTTCACTCACCAGCTATGTCAGGAAGTTTTCTTCCATACACTCCAATTACCACTTACACAGTTTCCTGTCCACTGCACTACATTTCCAGCTCTGGTAAGCTGAAGTCCCTCTCATGAACAAAGGCCAGGAATTGTGAGACTTCTCCCAACTGCTTATAGAATATTTTGTCTTCCTCTTCATCCTGTCTGGGTGGTCCACAACATACTCCCACCATGGTGTCTACTTTGTTGGCCTATCCTCTGTTTCTTACTCGTAAACACTCAAACTTATCACTACCATTATTAAGCTCTGGACAATCAAAACACTCCTTTACATAAAGGTCTACCCCACTGCCTCTCCTTCTTTGCATATTCCTTCTGAAGAATTTGATGTTTATACATAGTAAGAAGTCACAAAACTGAAAATTACTGAGAAACAGCTAGGAAAGAGAATGTCTGGAATTCCATCACCTGAAATCTGAAGAACTTATAAAGGTAATATAGGCAACAGGTAAAATAAACTTACATAGATAAAACATGGGAAAATGAATATATCTTCATATACATTGTGTGTGTAAATATATATAAATATATATCATAAAAAAAGCTTTACAGGAAATAACAGTGCTGTTGAAGATTGGAGCTTCATGATATATTTATTGTAAAGATATTTAACCAACTAAAGGACATGTGATACCTGATGATTTTCAGTTTGATGATGAAATGTGTATTCAGAACCAGGTAAGTGAAAGTTTGAATTCTTTAACTTCAGGATGTTTGCACTCTGGTACAATTGTGCACAAGGATTACACAGTGCACAATTACAGTGCAGATAACTGAGTTTGATACTTTATGTATTTAATGTATCAGCTAAAGAAAAGGAGACTGTGTGACAAATTCAGGGTTCAAATTCAGGTGAGGCTAATGGGTTGAAAGAACGGAAATGACAAGAATGCTGTCAAGCACAGTGACTTCCAAAAACCTTGTGGCCCCTCACTTCTGGTTACCTTTTGGTGGCCATTCACCTACAAATGGCCAAAGTTAGTAAATTAGTCATAAAAGAAATGATTTACTGGTGCTCTGGAGTTTATAGATGTGAATTCTACCATGTCAGAACTAGTTTGTCAAAGCAAGTATTGATTTTGTTTCTCACAATAATACATAGGGCAGATCAGTTCAGTGAATATTAATCTAATTACTCATATTGTCAGGAGTAAGGTTTATGGTCATATACTTTGAATGTGGATTCACTAAAGGGCACAGTCAAGATTGCTCAAATGCCTTAATTGCTTCTCAATATTTTAATATGTTTGGATATTCTCTAACGCAACATTGACTATAAAGAGTCTGGGTTATAATTCTCACTGTAATAGCAGCACTCCTGTAACAAATTTTGTAGTAAATTATGAATATGTGCTATTAACCTTGACTTCAATTTAACATCACTGTTGTCTGAAAACTACACTGATATTTGGGGCCAAGTGTCTAAAATGATGTAAAGCCACTTATCTCCAGCTGGGTCAACAAAGCTATGCTGAGTTAGAAGATAAATTATTTTGCCAGCTGTAAACACTGGGGTTAAACAACAACACTAATCTACACAGTAACATATGTGCACATTACACATATTAATACAGTTAAAAGAGTTACCAGTTTTCTACCATTGATTTCCATCTTGAAGTCACCTACTTTGGGGCAACCATTTTATTGTCATGGCATTGAAATCAGTGAAACATTCACAGATACCAAAAACAGTACCTCTACAGATGCTTTATATACTTGTAAACAATGGAAGAATATACCAATGTATAGTTAACATACTTGAGAGTCTTTTGAAATCACCATTCGCTTGGTCACTAAGTAATCTCTCAACAATTTTCAGCTGTATTTGTTTGTGTGTTTGTAATAACAAAGTACTTCACTGTTAAATTAGTTACAATGTATATGAGAGGGCATCTTTATATCTATCCCCATCCAAGAGGAAATAAAGATGATTTAGTTAATTTATAAATACTTACGAGAATGTTGATTGTTGGGAACACTTACTTATTTATGGAAATTCTTTATAAAAACCATTTTTTTCAGTCTAATGTGTAGAAACAGTCACATCATGTATTCATAGAATAGATATCAAAGGATAGAAATGATTAAAAAATTGCAGTATGAGATTGAGATTTTAGATAAATACTTTTTCTTGCTATCTGCTAGAGGCAGCTGTTCAGTACGGTCATTAAGCCCAGAAAATTTAGCTGCAGATTCTTGGTACATGTTTTCATCCAGCAATGACACCATATGCATGCATTCACAGAAACTAATGCAACATATTTTAAAGAACAGTAATTCAGGGATGTAGAAGTTCAGCCTAACAGCAATTCTATATCTTAAAATATGATTTTACCTTGATTTAGTATTTTTTAAAATGCCACAACTTGTGTCAAAAGTGGTGGAGAAAAATACATTCACATATTTTTTTCCAGAAGTTAAATTGATTAATTTTTTTTCTCCAAATATATAGATTTCTATTTTAGAATATGCAAATGTACACTTTTTTCACTTAATCCCATTAAGAGCCCTTTGGTGTCAACTAGAGCAAAAATGAGTGAGCAAAAATGAACAATGACTTAGGATTGTTTTGTAAACCCAATGTTTAGGTGGCCCAATACAATGGCTATTAAAAACATTGTTTTCAAAACACCCGTTTGTTTCAAAGAATCACAGCATGGGTAAAGTCGGAAGGGACAACAGTGGGATCATCTGGTCCAGCCTCCCTCAGGGTCATCCCAGAGCACATGGCACAGGATTATGTCTAGACAGTTCTTAAATATCTCAACCAAGTGAAACTCCTAAACCTCTCTGGTTAACTGTTCCAGGGCACTGTCACCCACACAGTAAAGAAGGTCTTCACCATATTCAGGCAGAACTTCCTGTGCATCAGTTTCTGCCCATTGCCTCTTGTCCTTGCTTGGCATTACCGAGCAGAGCTCCATCCTCTTGACACCCTCCCTGCAGATACTTATGAACAGTGAGAGATTCTCTCTCAGTTGTCTCTTCTTGAGGTTGAACACGCCCAGCTACTTCAGCCTTTCCTCATAAGAGATGCTCCAGTCCCTTACTCAACTTTATTGCCCTCTGCTGGACCTGCTCAAGGAGCTCTATGTCTCCTCTGTCCTGAGGAGCCCAGAACTGGACACAACACTTCAGATGAGCCTCACCAGGGCAGAGCAAGGGGGCAGGATCACCTCCCTCTACCTGGTGGCAATGCTCTCCCTAATCCCTCCCAGGATCCCATTTGCCTTCTTGGTCATAAGGACATGGCTGGCTCAGGGACAACTTGTCAACCAGGACCCCCAGGTTCTTCTCCATAGAGCTGCTTTCCAGCAGGTCACTCCCAGTGCCTGTCTTGGTGCCTGGGGTCTGTCCCAGGTGCAGAAGCTAGCACTCTAATTTCTGAAAATCAAATATTTTCAAAATTACTGTCATAAAAGTGGAGTCATCTAAAGTGCCAATATCTTAAAAAATTGGCCATATGAATGCCTTTCAATGGATGCATCAACTCAGTGATGAAGAACATTTCCCCATTCCAGAAAAGTCATGGATTATGACTCTGAATTGTGATTTCACAAAACAAAGTCACAACACAAAAGATTTTTCATATTTCAAGTTACATGAAATTTTTAAGAATTAAAGGTTTCCCTTTTTATAGAGAAATTAATTACATACCTGATAGGAGGAAACCAGTCATTCCTACCAAAAATACTAACTTCAGTCATCTTTTAAAGGAAAAAATATTACGATCATATATATAATGACATATTCCTTGTGCCCACCAGCTCACATTTTTTCTAATTTTCAGAAGCACTGTCATTATAAAATGTCAACATTAATTTACACACAGTTAGAAACCCACCTTCCAATAAACTGCATGGCTTCTTTTGTCAGCCTCCTAGTAAGGTTCTCATAGGACAGTGGCTGCTGGATAATCTGATGGTCCCTCATTAAAAAGCAGTTTAGGTGTCGAAAATGATAGAAGAAAAAAATCAAAATCACAAGTGAAATTGTTATTATTAACAAGAAGTAACCCAATGCTTGGAAGGGTACTCTGAGAAGGCCAATATACTGCACCATTGCCAAAGACACAATGGCAATTCCAGTGATTTGGATTGGGATGACAAGGTGTTTCTGAACACCCTTTAAAAATACGCTGCCTTGGCCAGGTTTGCAGTCTCTCAAATTGGTCACGGGAAGGCCATAAAAGTAATCAAATCCATGACTGAGGGGGTGGTGACAGAAGTCATTACTGCTTTCACAGTTCATCCCAAGATGCCACTTTCCTACAATGAGAGAAGGACAGGGAGTGTTTTTGTAGTTAAATCATCAAACTTACTCTTAATGTGCATTATTTCAAACACAAAACCATCACTATCTGACTGATAACCCCCTGCTCCCAGCATTTATTGTGTGGATCCCTATTTTCTATTTAAAATTTCTTTATGCCTTCATCAAAGATTTTTTTTTTTTTTTAATGTCTGCCTCTTCATCTTAGTTAGAAGTAGTTTGGCATGGCTATGATGAATATATTAATGCTGAAGAGCATACATTTTGAGTAGGCTAGCTGGTCATTGAAGAGCAACAGAGCACTAACAGACAGTTAACTTTGGAAATTAAGCTTTTGTGCATGTGAAGTTGTCATAAAAAATGATATTTTGTAGCAGCTACTGATTGAAGAAGAAGAAACAATACAGATTTACAAAACATCTTTTCTGAAATTTTTCTGGCAAATAATTTGACTTGTTTAAAAAAAAAAGGACAAAAGAAGAAGAAAAAAACAGTAACAAATAGAAAATAAATCAAGAATACGGAAATTATTAAAGCATTTATTAAATGATTGCAAAATCTCCGGAATTGCCAGTATCCCTCAAAATACACATACATACAGTGAGGCTGATTATTTTGTATTTGTATATTTCATATATATAAATAAAAAACAACAGTAACAAGTAAATTTCTGTCAAATACTATCTCTCACAGCATTTTATCCCACTAGGAAATCTCTCTAATTCTGTGATAATGTTGGACACTGTCTGACACAAGAAACCACTGAGCCTGATTTGCATCATACTAATATAATCTATATTCATGCTGATTATGGTGTCTAGATAATTTGTTCTATGACTCAGGTACATCCTCTTACCATATGCTTATGCATTGCTTAGCACAACAGACCTAATTGGTAGCTGTTATTTGAATCAAAATGCATAATTATAAAAAAATTCAAATTCAGTTAAGCTTATTGAGATAGATTATGAACAGAGCTATGCTCTTTGCTCTCAGCAAGAAATTGCTGATAAAAAAAAAAAAAAAAAAAAGCCACGCTGGCCTTGACAAAACAGATAACATTATATACTGCTGGGCCAAAATTTATTTATTTTTCTGAATCAAACACCTAAACATGACCAGCATAATTCAGGGGCTGTGATCAGAAAAGAAATAAAAAAGAAAATCTTCAAACCCAGTAAGACTTCATTCCCCTAACCTAGTGCAAAGAAATTTGAAATATTTGTTTTAGGGACATCAGAATACACATGGCAGTAAATTAAAAACTGAAAAAAATAGCATATACAGAATTTTCCCCTTTTCCAAACTTCCAGCTTTTATGCATCTGTAAGAAAGTCCTGATGCAAACAGTCCTGAACATCTTTTCCTGGTTCTCCAGAACAGCATATTCATTCTGCACTTTTTCCTTCAGCTGTGATAAATGCAGGTACTGCACTACCAAAGAGGGTGAATGTGGGGATCAGTTCTGCTTCCCTTAAATTTAGCCAATTAGCTGGGTGTTCTTACTTCTCTTCCACAAGTAACAGAATTGAGGTACGGGATGAGAGTGTCATATGCCTAAGTTCATCTGTCAGCAAAGGTGGAGAAAAAGCAGAAATCTTGAATTTGAGTGCTTAGTTGAGTCGAGTTGTCCTCATACATCTCTTGATGGTCTTAAGTTGAAAATAATTTCTGTATATCATCAAAGTAGATATAAAACATTTTCAGGTCTGCTTATTTGCCAATGAAATGAAGGCCTCTATACCTTTCTCATTCTATCAGAACCTTTCCCTGTCAGATGGTCCCTCACCTGAGGTGGTATTCTGTTTTTTGTAACCAGAATGGTTCTGGTCACTACTTTTGACATGGCCCAGTGAAAATTACGGTGGTCAATTAAAAAAACAAGCAATATACACCATTGTACTGAAATTTCAGACATTATAGTGGTGATATAAAGGGCTAGGTAAGGCTGGAACTCAGATTTTCATTCCAAGCACCCAAAGATGCAGATTTTTGAAAATAAATGCTTCAATTTTTTTTTTGTTAGGTTTGGATGAGTGTCTTAATGGAATAATCATAAAGCCAGATGTATAACAAAGTGAGCATGAAACAACTGCCATCAACTTAGATAAGTGATTTAAAGGCAGAGGCTTACAATCATGAACATAAATGATCTTAAGGCTTTCATTTGAATTTTTTTTCCTATTTTATGTAAATCTTTTGTTAAAAGCACGTGTAATGTAGTAAGAAAATATGACACAGAAAGTCAAAAAAATTAAGTATACTTTCAAGGTCACTTATGATATGGAGTGGTTTTTTAACTGGATCTCCACTACAACCCAGGATAGAAAAACCTTGCAGTAACAAATTAGGACAGGGGAAATATAGGTCCTATTTTTATCAAAAGGGCTTTAGCAAGCACAACAAATTGTTCAATGTCAAGACAAACTTGGGCCTCAGAAAAGGATTTGTTGAGAAGCAACTTAAGCCAACAAAGCAGAGATCAGGTTAGCAGGAGAAGCAACAGAAGCCCCAGCTCAAATTATATCGGCAGCTGTGACGGAATGACACAATTGCCATTCTCAAATGGCTGGGGAGGTAGAAGGTTTTGATAGATCCTTAACTGCTCTCAAAAAGCAAGTGATGACTGGGTCCACAATACATGTTTTTTTTCATTCCTTGTGACAATAACCCCTGCCTTGAGCTAGTGCTTGAACAGATTACTGTAATGTGCTTTAGATTCTGGGGCTCTTCTGAATCTGAGAGCAATGCAAAATGCTCTCATCTCTTTGCCAAGTGATGCTTCATAGAATGGACACTTCACACAAGCATCATCAGCATTTCACCAGATTCTACCAAGCTTTTGAGTGAAATTTATGCTGCTAATTGTAAATTATGAGTAGCGTAATAATTTGAGACCTAGGCTTCTTTCCCTCTCTGTCAGCCACAATTAAGATTTCTGCAGAGTAAAAGCAATGCAATTAAAGGCAAGTAGAAGTGAGGGGCAAGCCCAACTCAGCCAAGAAACTTCACTTGAAACTCCATTTTTCAGAATCCTGGGGACACTACAGAATTCCATGTTTCCCCTGTATTTGTCCCTCAGATAGTGGTAAAGGGAGCAATATGAAGATTGATTTTTATATGATGACATATGATGAGTTCTTTTGGAATGATTTTGTGCTTTTCAGATAAATGGCAAGATACAAGATGTGGAGCAAGATGCTAACAGAAATATTTTATCTTCTTAAGGAAATATATTGAAGTACATAGCACAAATTATATGTATGTGCATATGGTATTAGCATTATTTTAAGCTGTTTTATGAATAACTGTTGTATTAATTCCACTCCATAAACACAGTCAACCTTGGACACCTTACTACTGTGATATGCCCAAACATTACAATACTTCATTCTGAAAGAAATAAGTACCAGTTATCAATTAGTGTTTTAGCTTTAGAGATAAGCTACATAGGTGGATTTTAAACTTCTCTGGATGCTGGACAACCGGCTGAATAGCAATACTGAGGAAAAATTAACCTTTACTCAACTGTAATTGAATATAGCAGTAATTAAAATACTATTTATCCAATTTAAGGAGAATTTTTGCATTATGAATAGCTATTTCCAACAAAACATCAGAACTTCTTCCCACTGGTGAAATATTATGTATTCTATATATCTGCTTTTTTTGATAGAACTTTATTTTGTTGCAGATCTGATTGTGTGCTTTCCTGACAGATCTATTGGTTGTCACCTTCTTTATGTCACAGGAGAAAACAATGAGGTAGAAAAGTGAACACATAAAGTAGATTTATAGCTAAAATATATTTTGAGACATATCAAACAAAAGGAAGCATATATTCAGAGGTGAAAAATTTAAAAAAAACCACAAAAATGTACCTAGGGAAGAAAGAAAATGTCCTTAGAGAGGAGATTGGCAAAAAAATAGAAAAGACACTACAGGCTTGAGGAAAAGAAAGGCTTCAAATTACCCTTATGCCAATTCATCACTGGTGAAGAATTTGACAATTAACTGTTTGGGAACTGCTGAGTTAGACTGAACCAAGCAAAGACTCCCTGACCTAGAACAATATGATGTGATAAGAATAACATAAAAAACAGAGAATGGACTAGTTGTGAATCAGACTGCCTATCTAGTCTTCAAATCTATGTAATTTTTCTTTCTGTCATTTACATATGCTTTATCCCTAATTTTAACGCACTTCTTGATTTTTGGAAACCTTCATTATACTCTAAGGATATGGTAATATTACATTTTATGGTCTCATTCAGGCCACTTGGAAGAATTGTTCATTAAGTATCATGGAGATAACTTCTGGAGATCTAAGTAGCAAGCTGTCATGTTACAGCAAAAGTAGTTAAAAAAAGAACATTAACTAGGTCAGCCCCAGAAAATGAGTTGCATTACTGTGCTTGCTGCAAACAGAAAAAACCCAGTCTTTAACTGAATATGGAGAAATAGGAATTAAGTCCATAAGGAACATGACAAATTATGAAAGGTGTTTTTGTACTATGGTTTCAATACACCTACACTAAATGAACTTCTGATAAGAATTTCTGGTTTTCTATTTTCATTCTTTCAGGACATCATGGTATTTTATGCTTTATAAGACTGGGGTACAGCTAAGTAGGATTTTTAGTTAGAACACTGACATTGGTTTATCTACGTTATACAGACATTTTTTGAACAGTGGAGTGAATTGTAAGTCTTGCTAAACAGCCTGGTTTTTTTTAAACAAAAATTACTCTCAAAATTGCAAGGCTCTGTTTCATTTAAAAAACAAATTGATGCCTCTTTCATCTAAATTCATTTAGTAATATTCTAGCATGATGCTCTCTGCAGAGCTATTCCCTGGCAATTCCAGTATAGAAACACATTATGTAATATAAGTTGGACTTCACAAAAATCTTCTAAAATATAAGCAGCGTGGAATGAGTCAGGGGCCAAATTAAGAAAAAATTTCAGAATTCTTTAATGTTGTACCTTTATGACATTAATTGCAATTCTATTTAATATTAATCTTGTATGATTCCTTTTGCCCATCATATTTATGTTGTGATCAGTTATTTGAACTATTATTTGAACTATCTTTATAATGAGAGAGAAATACATTTTATATTAAATATCTACCAAATTATATGAAAAATTTCCTAGAAATGCCCATTTCTGTCTGATGACTAAGATGGTAGCCCAGGTACAACATTATTTACTTTATGGGAATTTGAACACTGATGAAATGAAAATCACCACAGTGCTGACTTGTACACTGTGATCAATACCTCATTGTCTCTCTGATGTGATCAAACTCCTATTTATACTGAAAACTTTTCAAGAGTTTGACTAATTTTCAGTTTGGTCACCATGTTTCTTCAGTACCTTGCAAAACAAGACTATAAAAAACATAAGTGAATTAGACGTACTTACCTGACTAGTGTTTCACATAGGCAAGGGAATGTGCCCAGCTTTGTTCCAGAAAAATAAATTGATTATGCTGTGGGGGAGAAAAGCTTAATGCAGACCCTTAAAAGCTGATATGGGAAGCTAATATTCTTCTCATTGAAATGAAAGAAACAGTGCTGAGCATGTCTCCAATTTTACCTATTAGAGCTGTTGCATAACCTCTCTGCTTCAGGAGTTTGGAAAAAGTTATTTCCTCAGAAGGAAGTCCCCCAGAAGAGGCAGAAAATAAGAAGACACCAACTCGTGAGAAGGCAGCCATTCCTAAATACAACAAAAAATGAATGAGACCAGGATAATAGAAAGAATTTCCATTCATTAGTTCTGCACACAGTTTTTTGCCTTAGGTGGTATCACTTAAATGGCATATTACAATCAGACTATTGAATCTGAAAACTAAGAGTTGCAAGTGGAAGATACAAGTATCCATTTAGCCCAGTGAGGTCTTTTCTGTACTGAAAAATTATGAAAAAAATACTCATATTGATATTCAATATTTTTCATATTGAAAATATGAAAAATATTCTGTATTGACACCAGAAACTGAGATGTGGAGAAAAAAATTCTGAGCCATGGGGCCAGACATCAACCAAACAGCTGCAGCCCCTTCTGTAGATTTTCTAAGGTATAGAAAAATCTTTAATAACTTGAGTCTGCATGATTTATTTTTCTTGTACACAGGGAAGGAAGGAAGATGAGGACTGAGTGAGATGACTCCTAAGTTCTCCTTTGAGAATTTCCTCTGTCCTCATATTTGGTTTTCTACAAGCCTTTAAGGTTTTTTGAGAGAAGGCATATTGAAATAGGGCAGTCTTACTGCTGGACATGCAAAATACCATGAGGTCAGAAGGAGCAAGAGAGAATCTGATCCTGTAAATAGAGTGGCTTGAGCTGTCAGCACTGATGGGGTGCTCCAGTGGCATGAAGACACACAGAGTGAGTGCACTAAAGGAGCAACAGGTACCAGCTAACAAGAAAACATCTAAATAAGGCACAGTAAGTTCTATATACTAAGAGTCTGAGAAACACAAATGAGCTTATAAACTGCTCTCAGGATGAGGAACTTGAAAGCTCAGGTTCATGAAAATTAGATTACTAGGATTCCAGATGAGAGCTGACACTGAAAATAGACAGTAAGAACAGAGAATATCTATGCAAATCTGTGCAGATGTATCTTCAGGAAGTCTAAATTATGCAACTGGATGATTACAGTGCCCGAATTACATGACTGATGTAGACAACCAGAATCCTCCCTCAGGTATCCCTTGTGGTTACACGAGAAAAAGACTCATTAGACTCGTTAGGCTGGTTTATTAAAGAGAGCTCAAATGCTAACTTCAGTTTTTCACTCCAGATAGTTTTGTTGATCAACGCTTCAGATAGCTTTAGTTATATATTTATCTATATTTTATTTATTTATATTTATTTTTACATATTTCAAGTTCTTGTAAGTGAAATCAGTGCAATTCCATTAAATTATCAGAATGAAAGTACAGAAGCATGATTTCTTTTTTTTTCATCATTACCTTTCTCTGAGCTTGCGTCTCATCCAATATGGCATTTTGGAATCCTTTTCATCAGCTCAGTTAGCAGGAGTTTTATATTTCTAATATTTTTTCGACATCATGATTCTAGTGTCTTCTACAATAAAGCCTTTACTAGTTCTTCACTGATATCTGGAAGTAACCCATTTTTCAAAATTCTGTAACTTAAGTAAGACAAAGTTCAATTTTTGTACCTACATGGAAATTATTAAGTATGTCTGAGAGCTGATCAGTGAAGAAAAAAATTAGTTCAAGTGCTACTTTTTGAGAAATAAGAACAAGGAACATAATGGAAAGTGACCTGTGGCTTTACGTACAGTAAATATTAATAGCAATATATCTGTAACAGGTATATAAAATTTTCCTTTGCAGATGAATGTAATGGAAAATTTAGCAAGTTTATTGCCAGCAATTTAGCTGGCACTTTTGCAGAAGCTTGTTACTTGATTTGAGTGAGCAAGGACGTATCAAGTAGGCTCCAGAGTCTTGCTTTGCTTTCATTCCCAGAAGCAAGGACAGGATGTTTTATCACTAATGAACAAGTGATCTGATTAATGTATAATGATCCTCGCTAAAAATTATGTTAAGGGAATGTTAAAGTTGCATGGCTAAGCACTGAGAGGCCCAGTCCCAGCACACTAAAATAAACAGACTAGATCTTCATTGACTCAAATAGGCTTTGGATCAGGTACTTTAAAAATAAGAGAAATTAAATGTATGTATTCACAGGGTATTTAACACTGTATGGGTAGATATGGTACAAAAATAACACTTCAAATAGATGAGAGATTTTTGCTCTCTTTCCAGTTGTAGGGGCAACTTGAGTACCTTAATGAACTGTCCTGCCCCTACCTTCTCCCTGAAAAAAGAAGAAAACCAAAACACAAACCTAACAATTTGTCTAAACAAAAAGGTTTAGCAGAAGTAGAAATGTCTGAGAAGAAGTATTTACACTGGCTTATTCCACTGAATCTTTCTAGATGCATCTCTGTGGTGTTCAATACTTGGGTTGTGCACCAATGCAGTGGGAGCAGCCTGAATGCAACCACAGAAGCAGGCAAAGAGCCTGGGATCATTGAATACTGGAGGAATTTCACAGAATCACAGAGAATCACAAGACATGCTTAGTTGGAAGGGATCTACAGGGATCACTGAATTCAACATCTAGCCCTGCACAGGACATGCCCATGAGTCATGCCATGTGCCCCAGAATATTGTCCAAACACTTCTTGAACTCTGTCAGGTTTGGTGCACATAGCACTGGAGGTGAGGCCACCATAGCACAGAGCAGCTCAGGACAATCCCCTCCCTTGCCTGGCTGGTGATGTCGTGCCTGATGCAGTCCAGAACATGGTTGGCATTAAATAACCACAGTCAGTTTGCTTTGTAAGTATTTAAACCAAAAAATACTTTACTGACTAAAAAAAATTTATCTTTGTGTCAACTCTTCTGAAATATGAAATCTCCCAATATATATGAAATATTTGAAATGTAGAGCAACTCTGCTGAGCTGGATCAGTCACTGAAATGACTGATCATTTAGCATTACTTAACCTGGTAATGATAAACAAATCAAGAAAGGCCAGGCAAAAACCCTGCATACAGTTTACTGTAAATAAGACATTTATATATAAATAAAGTGATGGGATTTTACCTGATCTTATAGGATATCTCCCTGTCAGGAAAGCTGCCCTGCTTGGAGTACAAAGTGGGGATGCTGCTACATGCTGAGTAAGTGTCACTCCTTCCTCTGCTAGCCTGTCAATATTAGGGGTTCTGGAAAAACACAAGCAGGTGAAAAAAAATACACAAAGATGATTATTTGGATATGGGCATGATAAGAACAAGGCACCTTAGCCAAGAACTATATGAAAATCTAGTTAAAATTTACTATATGTAAATTATCAAAAGTGTGGTGGGGTTGAAATTCCAGATACTATCATGTCAAATATTTTTACATTAGGCGTCAATACAGAACAGAGACACTGTAATATTGCGGCAAAAAGCTTTTTCCCACTTTCTTCTATTCTATATGGCCACTGTCAAACTGCAACATCTGATCATATAGTATTTCAACCCTTTTTAATGTGTTCCTTGACCAAACTGTAATTTTACAACCTTTTTCCTTCAGTAATGAGGGCGAGAGAGACCAGAGAAAGGTTGTGCTTCCTTACTTCCCACTTGGTGTCTCTTCTGTCTCTCCCCAGCAAAATCTTTTTGGGGTAGAGATAATGTTGTGTGGTGCTATTAGAAGAGATTCAAATTATTACGACTCTGTGTTATGTTCTATATTAACAATATCTACATGTCTGACATGATTATGTCTGCTATATTAGACCCAGGGGCACAACCTAGCTTCCATATCTGTATGGGAAATTTGTCTATGATCTGGCTCATCATGCAGATTAAAATTGGTTCCTGCAGGAAGAAATCCTGAGTCCTTGGTTCTACAGATAAAAATTACTAATGCAGACTGGTCAGCAGCTGCAGCATGCTCTAATAGATCTCTGACCTTGGAGATTAATGACCGTGACCTCAAGGCACACTAGTGCTCCCATCATCTAAGTCTGAAAAGTCAGAAACATTAATTTTCCAATGGAATTATTTTCTATCTGTGAAGTCACCTACTGATAACAATCAGTAAGTTGAAAATTCATCATATTCCAAAAATTGAATTCTGAATTCTCCCAGTGGAGAATACAGATCTTGGAGTCTTTCTGGTGCCTGTGAGGGGAGTGATCCAAGCATCAGTGTTGTATATATTTCCCCCTGTTTAAAACCAGAAGCTGTAATTTTTATTTTTCTTTTTAAGTTATGAGAAGATTCTGCTTCTAACTAACATCAGCAGGAACAAGAGCATTTGACACTTGACAGAACAGTGCTTTTAGTCTGAATGTGTTATCTTACTTTGCTAAAGACTTTGCACCACTGAAACACAATGGCTAGATATCACTTGCTCTGTTTACACAACCCTCACATCTAAGCTGGTAGCAAGAAACATCCCCAGGCACACTGAAGCATTATTCAAATATATTAACATTTGTTTTAATTAATACATTGATTACTGTATGATGATAAATTAAGGGCAAATATCAGTTCTTTATTTACAATTAACAACAAGCTTGTCCCAAACCATAAGTGCTTCAAAATATATTTAATTCATAGTAGTATTTGTGTCACATATATTATAGAAGAAAATTGTCAATTATACTTTAGTTCTCTAGAACTACCCTTACTTGGTTGGCTGCTCAATCCTCTGTTTATAATGTAACTTTTCAGCAGGATAAACGCATTAGCTAAGGCTTTGGTCAAAAAAAGAAAATAAGGACTGAATATTCAAATCTCTGGAAAAGTTATTAACTTTGGTTGCCCATAAAAAACCTAATCAAACCTCTGAATGTTCTGGCATTTTTAATTTTAAAAATCCATTGAAAACTCAATATAAAGGTATGACTCCCCTGAATTAACATCCTACCTTAAGGTTCTGTTCCCGTAACATCCCAGGTCTCCAATACCAAGATCATCAGCCATCAATAAAATTATATTGGGCTTTGAAACACTGTGTGTTTTGATACTGTTTATGGCACACTGACAAATTATTAGAAGTAAAAGGAGCCCCATCTTCTTCCTGGTGTGTAAAAACAGGTGGAAAATATAATAAATAGATTGTTAATCTAATTTATTATTATATTTTGCATAGTAAAAGAAAAAAAAGGTAGAATACTTTTAGTTGGCTTTCTTTTTTTCTTGAAAGTTTTTCAAAACATTTCCTCTCTCATATTTCTTAAAAATAAAAATGCATATTTTAGTGCATGACTAAATTTTCCTTCCACTCCTTTACACAGATGTAGCCTTTAAATAAAGACAAATAAAGAACTAGATAAAACCTCAGTGGCAATTTTGCTTATACACATGCACTACGCAGCAATAAATCATAAGAGCTAACAATGCTTGAGGCTTTTTTTTTTTGTGTGTGTTTGTCTTTTTGTTTGGGTTTTTTTGTTTTGCTTTTTTCTAGCTACAAATGTTATTTGAGGAACACAGAATCTGAAATCATTTAGGACCAAAACTTTCAAGGCTCACTGCAGAAAAAAAAAGTTAATCAATTCCACTAATGAAGTAAATGACAGAACTTCTCTTCAACAATGAGGAAAAAAGCCCAGCTGAAGTTTCTGGAAAGGAATAAATATGATGGAAAAGAGGGTGAAGAGATGCACTAAGAAATTATTGTAAGGAGTGTTTAAGAAAAGGTTCTTTACAAACATTATAAATACCAGGGTCTATAGCAAAATCAATTAAAAATTGATATCACGTTACAATGTTCTATAAGAAATGCTCATGTCATATCAAACTTAAAACAGGAAGAAGGATGTATTTTACAGCATACAGCATACAACATATGCTTTTATGGTAAAAGCAGAGCATTTGCAGATGTACATGATATGAATGCTGTTTTACCGTAATCAGAACTTGTCATATCTCTGTGTTAAACTGTACTGACCATGCCCTGGCTAAAACTGAGCGCCTTCAGGCTGTAATGGACTGTGCCAGGCATCAAAAAGAACAGGGACTCTATTCTGTCTCTTAGTGAGATTCCCATAATTTCTGGATGCAGGCAGCCTTTTTCAAATTCAGGCAAGGCATGAGTCACATCTGCACTTGCATTATTCTCAGAAAAGAGTGGAAGAAACCAGGACTAACGTAGAAATTTGTATGTGAAAGAATCGAAAAAGAAGATAGAATAATTTCCAGAGAGAATGGGGATAGCCGATCAAGAAAGAAAAATCTTGTAAATCAATGAGTTATGGAGTAACTGGTGAGAAGATAAAGAAGTCAAAACTGAAAGACCTGGTACAAAGAGACTAGACATCAAGGGAGACGAATACACGGTGAAATGAGGTGGGTAAAATTATTTGTAGAGGAGACAAAATAGGCAGAACTAGAAGAGTTTACTCTGACTTTAATAGCAAGAATGGAAGGTGAGAACCAGCTGGAATGAGAATTGCAGGCAGAAATGAGGAGAAATGGTAGAAGAATGAAGAAACTGGAAAAGATGACAGTGAACAGGAAAACAAAACTGAGGAACAGAGGTGAGAGAGAAGCGGAAATGTCTGGGAGGAAAGAGCTGGGAGTTATGAATATGGTCAATGAAGAGAAGTGATTAGAAAGAACCTGGGAAGATAAGATCTTCCCTGAAAAGATAAACAAACGTGATTTGCTTTCCATACTTTCCAAGAGAACAGTTAACACCCAAATTGACCCAAGAGGACAGGAACTGTTGCCAGATCCTATGTTCCTACTCTTATGTTCTGACTGCAAAGGTCTCAAAGGCTAATAGCAATGGGCATGTCGAAAAAGAGGACATTATATGTTGGTGAAATTATGTAGGGAGCTGCATGGATGCTTGCAAGCCCTGCAGAACATAGCCTCATTTAAAACCTCCATTTCTCATTTTGTAAATCAGCCAAAAATAGAGCTATTGAAGGTTGTCTCTCATACAATACTTCTGGATATTTCTCTACTCTGAAGGAGTATTTGTAGATACTCTCACAAATTGAGCTACTTGCCTTCACCTGAGATCATGTCCCTGAAGTGAAATCAACAACGCAACAGGGAAAAAAATAATCCAAACAACTATGATTCTCTGGTGCACTCTTTCTGCATCAGATTTTTGTGTGTCTTGAAAGGACGTGCATAGAAAGCAAGAAAAATCAGTTGGATGAAATTGAGTGGAACAGACAACAGCAAAGAAATTCAAAGGAGCTAAAAGGGAAGGACGTGAGAAGCATGAAGCTTTGAGGATGCTGAGGGCTGTCTGTATTACACCAGGGCATCTCCTGGTGGAAACACAAGCATATGTAGACCTAACACGAAAATGATAACACAAAATCAGATGAAGCTTTCAGCTAACTAATATTTCCTCTCTGTCCAGAGACAATCTAAATTAAGAAAAGATTTAAAAAAAAAACCTGGAAAAAGAATTATTTTACTAGCACACCCTTTTAGCTTTTGGCAGTCAGCATTAAAGGCATTTTGGAGAGGAAAACATTTTAATAAATATCTCTCCATAGATCTTTTGACCTTCATGGAGTTGTTATAATCTATTTCTAATTAATTAACTTTTTGTTTGGTTTGGTTTTTTGCATTGAAAGAATTTGATTTTATTTTTTTACTTCCATAACACTCTTTAGATGTTCCTTCAATAGGCATCAGCTTTAAAGGTTTGTGTTTCACATTCATCTGGCTACATTTTTCCTTATTTTTTACATATAGGGCACATAACTGCAAGTTTTAACATCTGCTTCGCGTTCCCCATGATATAATACAACTAGAAGTAGCTTCTTCCTTTCTGAGGTGGCTGATAAGTTGAATAGATTCAAGAGGTGCTCAATCTCCTAAAATCACATCCGCACAAGAATTCATATTTCACGCATCCTATTTCAACCTACAATACTTTAATTATTGTATAGGAACATATAGATATGCATACAAACACAGATCTGTCAATATGCACATACATGCATGTTGGGGCATATACATGTCCTAACTTTTTCTACATATCTCCAAATTGTATTTTTGGAATTCTAATACATATTTTCTATTAGCATTAAAAAACCCCAAAGTATAAATATGTAAGAAAAAATAAATTAAAGAAAAGCCCCAAGCAGATATAATCCACTATTTCACCAAACATTTATTTTAAATTTTAATTTTCTTCATTAAAAAATGCTGGTCAAAGAGTTGTGTTTTTTTCTTTGTTTGATTTCTTTTTAAAATCAGGATAACTGACTCAAGATATGGCTGTTATAGAATTACAGAATAAGTTGGGGAACTACAGTTAAAAGGATTATCAAAGTTCAACTCCTGGCCCTTAACTCCTGGCCAAGAGTCATACCTTATGCCCAGGAATATTTTCCAAACACTTCCTGAACTCTGTCAGGCTTGGTGCTGTGACCACCAACTTGAGGAGCCTGTTCCAGTGCCCAACCACCCTCTGGGTGAAGAACCTTTTTCTAATATCCAACCTAAACCTCCCCTGGCACAACTTCAGACCATTCTCTCAAGTCCTGTCACTGACCACCACACAGAGGAGATCAGTGCATACTCCTCCTCTTCCCCTCAGGAGGAAGTTATAACTGCAGTGAGGTTTCCCTTTAGTGTCCCTTTCTCCAGGATGGACAAACCGAGTGATCTCAGCTGTTCCTCATAAGGCTTCCCCTCAAGGCTCTTCACCATCTTTGCTGCTCTCCTTTGGACACTCTCTAATAGTTTAATGTCAAACCGTGTGGCACCCAGAACTGCTCCCAGCACTGCAAGTGTGGCCACCCCAGGGCAGAGCAGAACAGGACAATCCCCTCCCTTGCCTGGTTGGTGATGCTGTGCTTGATGCCCCCAGGACAGGGTTGGCCCTCCTGGCTGCCAGGGCACTGCTGGCTTATGTTCAACTTGCCATTGACCAGGATCCCCAGATCCCTTTCCTGGTAGTGCTTTCCAGCCTCTCATTCCCCAGTCCGTCCGTACATCCAAGGTTTCCCCACCTCAGGTGCAGAATCTGGTACCTGTCATTGTTGAACTCCATATAGCTGGTGTCCTCTAATTTGTTGAGATCTCTGCAGGGCTTCTGTGCCTTCAAGGGAGTGAACAGCTCCTCCCAACTTAGCATCATTGGCAAGCTTATTTAGTGTATTTTTCAATCTTGTATTGTTTATGAAGATGCTGAAGAGGAGAGGGCCGAGGATGGAGCCCGGTAGAACCTCAGAGGTGACAAGTCACCAGTCTGATGTCACCCTTCACTGCAACCCTTTGTGCCTGACCCATGAGCCAGCTGCTCTCCCATCACATGATGTGTTTATCCAGCTGTGTGCTGGATAATCATCTGACTACTACAAACACATGCATCTTTACAAGAACAATTAAAAGAAGATCTTTCAAACATCTCTTCCCAACTGAATAATTTCCGAATTTTTTATTAACTTTGATTAAGCAATTTATCTGTAAACTACTCTTTCAATGTAACAGAACCCTTTGAGAAAATTCTTAATACACTTAATCCTTGAAGGTACAGTATTTTCTGATGAAATAAACAACATTTAAAGATATTGACCTAATTAAAAAATGCTGTGCTATCCTTAAGCAGTATGCAAAAGAAAGAAAAAAAATTACCTTGCTTAACTGAATGTTTGAACTCCAAAAATTTCTCTAAAGTCATAAAAAATCACAGTGTAAACAAACTAGAGAAAACCCTGCCCTTCATAAGATTCTGTAGAGAAATTTCTTCAGCTTAGTGAGAAACAAAAAAAAAACAGAGTAAACTTATAAATTTTAAGAAATGGCAATGTAATCTTATGTATATAATTGATTATTTTCTGGTATCAGTTTAAGATTTGCTAAATTCTCTCAGTTAATTCCTCTCTTACAAGTTGGTAATATCTGTTGAATCTTTGATGTAATATAACTGATTTTCTGAAACTTTTCATTATATTTCAGTATGCATCTTAACTATATACATATATGAAAATCTGTATTTATTTGACTAAAAGTTGTCTCATTGCAAGAAAGAAATTTCACTTAATATAAGCTGGGAAAAACATTAAAACGAATAATTATTTCTTAACTGAAAA